CGAATTATCGAAAGACCATAAGGACCAATCAGAATTCCAGCTGCCAAATACCCAAGAACAGGGCTGCCTATACATATGCAGCAGATGAAGCCATCAAGACAGCACATAATTCTCTATGCAACATAATTGAGAGACCAGAAACTGAAAATGTTTTGACTGATGAGAGCATAAAATTTGTAGGAGTTTATGGCAATGGGAAAAAAAGGAAAATAAATAAGGATGCACTGGAGAGAAATAACGAAAAATGAATCCTACATACCTCCAGGAATTTTCTGAAATAGAGGCACAAATATGACACTTGCTAGCAGTAACCACAAGAAATCCAAAAGTGAAGCTTCTTCCTCATTGACCTAATAATTGCAGAATTTTCAGCCTACAGTTTGCTTGGGACTTTGAAAAGAACAAGAGCAGTTATTCCTACCTCCTGGTGAGGAAGCATCTCAAGCAGTTTCTTAATTCTCTTTGAAAGTTTCTGCACCTGCCGGATCAACGGCTTCTTACTAGAAGAGACGTCTTCTGTACTAGTGATGATGACATCTTGCTGTTGAAGCAGCTGGTTGTTCCCCCATACTCCATTGGAGTATAATGTCAATCTGAAACGAATAAGAAGCTCATAAACAACAAAAAGACCAAAATTTATGTCCTGTACTTCAAAAAATGACGAAACTAAAAGTGTAAATTTTCAAACTGACCCTGCCCCAAGAAGTGCAATTCCAAGAACAAGCTTCGGCCATTGCTGTTTGACAGAATCAACCAGACTTGCAAACACTGTCGTGGTCCCATCTGGATTGGAAGAGAAGAAAGATGCAGAAAAGAAGCGGGATGATTTATTAAATGATGCCTTAGGAGAATTAAGAGAAGGACCCTCTTTTGGAAGATCTTTCTGTGTTTCCTGTTTTTTCGTCTGAACAACACTCTTTGACTTTTCAGAATCTGCTTCAGCCACTTTAGAAGACTCTACACTTGGCTTTCCATTCTCATGATCGCTTGAATCATAAGGCTGGGTTAGTTTTTGAGTCTTCTGACCAAATCTATCAGGCACTGCTGATAAATCTCCATCTATTGGCGATTCTCTTTCGACCTGATGGCTAACATCTTCAATATTACTTGAGAGTACCACCTCATCCATGATAGAAGTTTCTTCATCGGAGAGTTGGACCTGAGTTTCTTCTGGGGTCTGAGAGATGGAGAGAGATTTCTCTGCTCTCTGCAAAGCAATCTCTGCATCGTTAACGCGTTGAGTAGCCTCAAGCTCAAATGCGACAGCTTGTTCAGCCAATTTCATAATATTTGCAACATCTTCCTCGGCTTTCAACGCATTGATCTGTATTGTCTCAGCAAAATTATTCAATTTGTCCACTTCCTTCTGCAACTCTTCTTTTTTGATCTGCAAGCAACTCAGTTGGGCCTCACAATTTGCTAAATTCACTTGGCATTCTTTTACGTCATCCTTAGCAGCTAAAATGGCTTCTTCTTTATCCTCAACATCATCTCTTTTCTCAATCTCTTCAGATGCTTCAGGACCTCCACCTGCTCCAAGTGATTCCACTACAACCTGAAGCCTTGCTTCAGCCAGAGACAACGCCATTGTAGCCTTTTGAACAGCTTCTTTAGCTACAGATTCCTCATCAACTGTATCTCGAATTACATCAAGGGTTTTGTTTACCTCAAGCCAAACATTAGCCGCTTCATCCTTGAGTGCTATCGCAGTTTCTGATATTCTCTGAGCCTTTTCCTCAAACATGGTACTACTGAGTCTAGCAACTTCCAATTCGTTGATTGCGTTCCTTAGTAACTCCCTGAGTTCCTCCAAACCATCAGTTTCGTTTTCCGCCCTCACATCTTTTTCTACTTCCAAAATTGTAGCTTCACTTTCATCATTACTTGCTGAAAATCCCGCATTTCGATCATTACTATCAACATCCACAAGAGAATCATTACCTTGACAGTGTGACCTAAATTCAGCTTGGCGGCCATTTCCAACTATTGATTTTCTAGGATACAAAGGACTATAAAATCTTCCAGCATTCAAAGTCAACTTACCACTTTGTACTACATTCCTCCTCAATCTATTACCCAAATGCACTTTGGAATAAGTATTTCGATCCCAAAATGTACCGCTAATTCCATTGGGACACAGTTTCACATATATCAACCGATTCGGCAAGCTGTAACTCGAACCATCCCCACCATGAAAAATCGGCCGCTGAACAGTACACGAAAATTCCATGTCGAATCAATATATCGTAGAGTAGCGTTACTTACTTTGTTCCTCGAACCCAATATAGAACACCTGCGGAGCAAAATCGAAATTCCACAGGGTTTAGGAGCCACAGAAATCACATTCGGAATTTACACGAAAATCAAAATCGGAAACTGCGACTCAGAAATCTGTATATGAAATGTAAAACTCCGATACAGCCAAAAAGAAGACAATCGCGAAGCAAAACTTCACAAGAACGACG